TCAGGGGATCTCGTAGTCGAGCAGTCTCGACTAGAGCTTTCTTTCTTGTTTAAAATGAAAATTGGGCAGAGATAACCTTTAATTTATTTTAAAAATTGCATAAATGTCATTTCATATTAATTAAACATTTATAATTAATTCTAATACCTACCAGTTTTCCAGATGTTAACCTCGAGATCTGGTGAACATATTTGTATAGGCGGTGCATGCTGAATATCTATAAAGGTCCGCTTTATTTGTATTTTTTGCAGGTGTAGGCGTAGGTGCTTTAATGTTCGTAATACATATACATAACTCTTAACCAAAAAGATAATAATTGAGAGGCGGGTAGTTCACTGCTGAAGCGAGAAGTTTCTATTCTGAGAGCCAAAAAAGGCGCTTATAATTTAGATTTAAATCACAATTTCTTGTCTTCAGATTAACAAAACAATGTGTTTAGGAAAAAATATATATAGTATTCTAATTCCTCCACATACTAATCCTTCGGAGCTTTGGCTCACAGAAACGTTTTCAATAGCGCTATATATGAGCCGGTTGTGCTAAGTATCTGCAATTAAAAATTAAAATATGTATACATAAAATATATTTATAATACGAAATATATAAATTGTACCGAGCTAAAGGCAGGCAACGAAGGGGTAAAGAAGGGCACGGCAATGGATTTTGCCCGCTGCGAGCGTCGCAAGATCATTAAAATCATTTTTCTAGTCGCCACATCACATTTATACCATCCGATGTCGTACAACGTCCCAGCCATGGCTAAGCTCTATAAGAAATAGGGAAATCGGAAAATAGGAATAGGCAAGCTGAGATGTATCATATGGCTGACCAGCATTTCCCTTATTCATCTTACTAAAAGTAGAGTTTTTAATAAAAGTTTAGGTGGCAATAGACATCTAGAGATCAGCGTTTTTTTTTTTTAATATTTTACTTGCACCTCTGTAGATGATTTTCAGATTTTGTAGATACAGTAAACTTTGTGCTTCTATTAAAAGTTATTGTCTTTCTTTATTTCTCTCTTTTTATGCCAATTTCGTGTAGTATGATGAATAAAGTACTATAATCAGAAGATTAATTATAGTAATTACGCTTTCGCTGACATGGTTGCTCCCGAAGCAATACAGGAAGAGTTGAGTCAGGGCTGCAACGCTGTAAAATATGTAGGTTAGGCCGCTTAACGAGGAGGTGTTCTACCAGTGGATCAGTCCCGCGTGTAAATAAAGTAAAAGTAAATTTAAAATTTTATATGGGCGCATACGGATACGCATAGTAACGCCTCCTTGTGCCCCGTACTCGAGAATATATCTAAAATGTTATGGATAAATGGAAGGACAGTAATTCGAGCAACAAACATAAACAATATCGAACATTCATCTTGTATATAAAAAATTCGTCCTTTTCCTTGAATGATGTTTGGGAACATTCTTTTCAGAAAATGTTGCAAAAACAGTTTGTATTTAAAATTGCGTTCATAATGTTTTTATATTTCAGACTAATAGTAGAGACGGTTTAGAAAAAGTACATGAACTTTGGGGGCTCACCAACATAATATCCAAAATAGTTGAGCAGAGGACAAAAGCAGCGGAGAGGAAGTGCATCAGCACGATGACGGTAAACTGCCTGCTGAGATCTGTGCACAAGTCAATAATCGCATTATGACGTTCGACAATTTCGACTAGCTGAGCCCGTATTTGGCTGTTTTCTGAAGGCGTGTATATCACCACTATAAATTTAAAAATTATTTGATTGGAAAGATAAGATTAGATGAATATTTCACTTACACTCATCTAACGGAAGGAAAATGGAGCGAATATCCAGTTGTATCACACGAAATATTCCGCTGATGTACAAGCAGCTGCACAGAAAGAATCCATCAACGAAGCTGAAGGTGAACACGGTGCAGGCCCCAGAAGCCGTCAGCAACAAATAGGTGAGAGGAAAGCAGGATGGCATAGTCGCAAATGCAGGTAGTCTATAATAATAAAGGTTTATGTTATTTTCTTGTTAATTGGAAATTAATGTATCATATGGTTTCCAAAACGAGATCGAAATTTGCAACATATACTCGTGTATATCTCCGATTTATAAAGTGTTAAAATTATCCGGATCCGCCCACTAGGGGCGTGGCAAATCGGAAAATGCATTTTCCGATATGCCA